ATTTAATGGTAAAGTAAGAATAATAAAAGCAACAAAGTGAGAACTAAGAGTTGCGAAAAATAGTGATAATCAGAATACAATTTAGAGATCCTATAATATTTACTATAATATGTAAAGAAATTAATAAATAATAAATAGTTTTTAGTTTATACAAAATAGGAACACAAGTAGTATTAAAATGATAAAAAGTACACATCTAGATGTGTATAAGAGACAGCTATAATATTTACTATAATATGTAAAGAAATTAATAAATAATAAATAGTTTTTAGTTTATACAAAATAGGAACACAAGTAGTATTAAAATGATAAAAAGTAATAAGCGTGATAACAAATAAATAATTAATTGTTTTTTTTTGTTTGTCTGGGTCAATTTTCATCAATTTTTTCCAGATTGCAAATTATTAAACAATGTCTCTAACGATGCAGGTGAGACGTAGCTACAATACAACTACTTTTAGATAAATCACAGTACAACAATGTATATATGTATATGTATTATAATAGGTAAATTTGTATGTGCGTATATCGGTGTCTCTGGCATCGTCATTCACGCTATAATTTTCGTATCTATGAGATAAAATGGATAATAGCCATTGGCTAATTTGTCATATTTAATTTTTGACTTTTATACTCTATTCTAAGTGGTTTCATTGCGGAATTGCTATTATTTTGGGGAATTCATACACATACCTAATTTGTTCATGGTCTTTGCGCAGCATAACCGCTGATGAATATATTTCGTAGCTTGTCTATTTATCTTTCGCTGCTTTCAGCTACTCGCATTTCTATCTTTTATATTATGTGCACGGAACAGTATATACATACATATTTCACAATACACTAAAACGTGTACAACTCTGCTCAAACCACTGCAGTGTACTTCTTAATATTTATGCATATGTACATTTATCTTACATAGATGCTTGCTTCAGAGCCAGTGCTGATATTCGTCGACAAATTATCCGAATATCCAATACAATGGACAACAATAAAATTCACACTTTCTTGTAACAAATCGCCAAAATGTGTGTAAAGGTTCATTATATGATTCCCTTGCATTCAGGTGCATTTACATGTGCATATGTGTGAACATTAGATCCAAGGACGCCCCCATGCAAGGAGATCAATGAAGGCCGTGGCCACAGACCGACCGTCATCGACGCTTTCGTCAGCCGAGCGCAATAGTGCCTACACCCTCTTTCCTACTACCCACACTCGGTTTACATATGTATACTTAATAAAATGTGTATTACGATTAATACTTACGATTTTCTTTGAGATGTTCGATGCTTTATAGTAAAAACCACACAAATATTTTTTTCACAACACAAAGATCCAGTTCACATTCGATGAATTTTCCTGAATTTCCTGGCTTTGGTATATTCGATGTCAAAAGCTTTCCTCCATAGAGGAAATTTGCAAAGTTTATCCAGCTGCTTTCGTGCGCTTCCTGAAGTTACCTTACAGTTAATATTGCCAATTAATTCATTTTTTCCACCGTTTGGTGTAGGTCTTGTCTAGGTATGTCAATGAAGTTTCTATTGTTGTTGCTCAACAGCTATGTGGTTGGTGGTTGATGTTGCTATTGTTGTTCAACTGGTCAGTGCTGATGTAGAAAAATTTCTTTTGCTAGTTTTTCACTTCGCCTTTTCCACACCTTCACTTTGCAAATTTGCACTTTTTGTAAACAAAACTGATGGAGAACCTGCATTGCTCACTTTTTGCACATTTCTCCGTGAAATTGACAAAGAATATATGGTCGAAATATCCATGCGAAAATTTTTCACTTTATTCACCGTTGGAAAACTTCTTGCAGAGCTCGCGAACGATTCGATATACAGTGTGAAAAAGTCAAGACATACAACGAAGTATTAACCAAAATAAAATGTCAAATATCAGCGTTGTCGTATCGAAATTTATTTTGCGGTTTCAAATTCATTCCAATAGTGTTGCACAAATAAGTACCGAAATTTCTTATTGTGTACATATAACTACCCAACATATTTATATGTGCATACATATGTGCATAAATTGTTATGAAGGCGAAACAAAAATAAACAAATAGAAATATATCGATTTTGAAGTAATTGTTTGTTTTATAAGACCCTCTATGCATCATAAAACACAATATGTAATTAGCTTTTACATATTAAAGAACTTTATTTTTAAATTTCATTTTTACAATCTCTAATTAGTTTATGCTTCAATTTCTTATATTATTTTTCAAATTTTATTATTTTAGTTAATAATTTGATGCAGTATTAGTATATATGCATGTAATATCTTTCTTTAGGTCGGAAAGGTTTTTATTTTGTATCCTCATTCAAACAAGCTTGCTTTTGAAAGGTATTTAAACTAAATATTCTACGTTAACAATTTCGTACATTACATTATTAATTTAGTTGTAAATATAATTTCGAGTATGCACTCTGAGCTATTTTAGCTGAGAGATTCAATATCCAGATCCGAAAAAGTGCTGCGACTTGAAAAAAGTGTATGTTTGTGGTGTTTATGGTTTGTGTTTATATAAGTTGTGGGATTGTAGGTTCTAAAAGAAGCGTTCACTAATTTAATGTTTTTACTATAATTATTTATAATAATAAGAATAAAAGCAAATTTATTATTAAAATAATTAAGATATTAAATAAACGTTAGCCATAATTAATGTTTGCACTATGCGAGGTCGGCTGATAACTGCTCGATATATTTCGCTGCTGTTGTTGTTGCTGTACCTGCATAGACTGTATTTGAGGCTGATAGTTAGCAAGCTGTTGTTGAAGTAGCTGATGATGCTGCTGTTGTGGTTGATGTGGCTGCGTGGCCATTAAATGATTCTCATGACACCACTCAACAAAATCGTCAATTAGCACCGGCCATGCTCCTTCTGAATCATAGTTACTCATATTGTCATCAATGTGTGTGGCGAAATCCAGCAGTAAATTCCAGGTGTCTTTAGGTATTGATCGCTTATGCTTCTCCTGCGTTTAATAAAATTGATATAATATTGAAATTGATATTATATTGAACATATTCTTTAAATTACCTCTAAAAACCTACACCACAGATCCAAAAATTTAAATCGGCTACTGAGCACAATCTTCCAGTAGACAATGGCCATATTTAAGTCGATTCCCTTCTGACCTGGATCCTTTGCATAGTTGAAAGTAAACTGATAGAAGTCCTTAAATTTGGCTATATCATTTAACTCCATTTCCAGTTGAGGCAATTTCGCTTTGAGCTTATCTACACTGTCCACACCGAGATCTGCCATACCATTCACAAATTCATCATGTTTGAATTCACATTGCACTTCAGCGCGAAATTTCCAGGCAATTATTAGAACTAATTTAGATTCAGGACTTAAAGCGAGATCATCTAAGAAACGTATAACTCCATCTGCGGTAATTTTCTGGGGTTCACATGGATCACGGTAACGCAGGAAGAGCTGTTCAATACGTTTGCGATCCAGCTCACGATAATAATATTCTGGATTTTGAAAATAGTTGTCGCTAGCTAACTCCAACTTCCAATCATTTTGTTGGAGGCAGTATATAGCCGTTTGTTCCCCCGTCTGTGTTAGCGATATGAATCGTTTTACTTTATCTTTTTGTGTGGACTTCAATTTATTCTAAAATGATGAGTATAAAAAAAAGGAAAGTATTGTAAGTATGCTACACCACCAATTATGTAAAAAAAAAATTGGCATACACATTTGCTAATTTGTTAATGCCAAAGTATGATTGTTTCTGTTTTTCGCACGAACGAACGTATTATTCAACAAATTGCTTTCACAAATTTTCTTATTGGATTCTCATTGCTGTTACGGATCCCATGCAAACAATTATTCATTTTGAAACTATAAAAACAATTGTGCACTTTATATTATGAATTTGAGCACTACACAGCCAGCAAAGGTACTTTATAGATGTTAGCAAAAGTTAATAGTTAGTTTAGTTTTCATCAAACAGTGAACGCATACGAATTCCATTGGTTCTCAGCTGCAAAAGTCTTGCATTTGTTGCCCGCCACCACCCCCTTGCATTGATCCATTGCGTATGCAATAAATGCAGTACACCTTTAACTGCACTCAATTTGGACTTCACTTACCATCTCGATGCTACCAATTGTTTGAAAGTGTGTCGTGGGAAAATTTACTGTTCCGACGTTTCAAAATTGTCTTCACCAAAAAAATTAATTTTCCTCGCTTTCTTTATTTCGTCTATCTTTCGTTTGCTATTTTTACGTTTCGTTTTGCGCTGCCTTTCGCAGAGAACGTTCAACGTGTGCTACCATATGTACGCATTTCCAAGCTAATTTTTCAATGGTAGATGTCGCCTTATGGTAGGTCAACCAGAGACCGTATAATATTTTACGTTCTCTGCTCAACCTGTCAATCCCTTTGGCTTGTGATTCGTAAATATTTACGAATTTGTGGTACAGATGTAAAAACAACTGACAATTGCTTAAGGACGGATGTGTGAAAAGCTTCAGAAACAACTGTTTCGCGCTCAATGTGAAACTGGGAATTCGAATCAACATACTATCAATTGGAAAACATAATCCAGGAAATTATTCCGATTTTTTTTTTCAAAGGGCATTTTATACACACAATACAGAGATTAAGCACCGTAATTATTCGATTTAAAAAATGATTATGTATTTTTATTTAATAGCATTAAAAACACAAACTAAAATTTATTAGAACCTATGGTTAAATGTAGTTTTTGTTATTTATGTATGTATGTGTGTATATAGTTTTTATGTATGTATTCAGCAATCTGCGATATATTAGACGTAGAGCCAAAAAGGCACTCCTAATGACTGCTGCAAACTAGGTCGTCAAAGGTTGTATCGGTGATTTGTATGAGACGATGTACACATATATATGGAATGCGCAATGAAAGTTACGAAATAAATGCCAAATATAATGAACAAAAAACTAACAGATGGAAAAAATATGATTCTACAAAATAAAACTAATTATACAAAAACAAACATTTCGTAAAAATATTTGCGTTTCATTTCTTTTTCTCGCGGGACAAAAAATCAATTGATTGTGTTGCACGGCTTAGAACGCTGGATGATTTTAATGCATAAATTAAAATTACCAATTTAACGCTGGAAGCCAAATGACTAAGCATATTGTGAGAGGATTTTCTACTGAATCAACAAATCGAATCGTTTGATTTTAAAAGAGCATTTTCTCCAACATTTTGCTAAGTTTCTCATGAGCATATCGCATTTTTTGATAAAGGTCTTTGGAGCAACCATGTTGTTTGATTGTTGAGAAACGGTAAGTACGGAAGTTCTTCTCATGATCCATATAAGTAATGGCACTCATACGCGGACACAAAATAATCTTCATATGATCGGAAAAATTCAACTGAAATGTAAAAAGTTGACAAGTAAAAGTTAATGCTTATATAAAATTAGAAAATTTACAAACCTGCAATGAACCATTGGTTAAATGCATCACAACGGCGCACGTTGTGCGAAACCATGAATGTAAATGTGGCATACGGGAAATCTGATCGCTTTCGAAGTTCACGTTGTTTGCACCAGCTTTAACAAGATGTTCGGTCATGTAACGCTTAAAGTACGTGAGCAACTTCATTTTCTTATCTAAGGTTTGACAGTAGTCGGTGGTGGTCATGTACGTTTCCTTTCCATCTTTGTCAATGAAATGCACATTGCTATAAAAGAATAATAAAACATTATTATTGTACTAATTATATTTTATTTTATATTTGGTGAAAACTTACATCTGGTTTGGTAACAATATGAGTTTGGTAGTATCATTAAACATTACACCCATTCCTTCGTCGCACAATTGATAACCAAAACCATATTTGTCACTGTAGTCCACCCACTTTGACACCCAGAAAAGTGGTTGTGCTGCCGGATCTGTGTTTTCGTCGCCCAAATTACGTGACAACAGTTTCGGCTATAATTATTTAACATATACAAAATAACAAATTCAAGTCATTTAAATTGTGTATGAATTTTGTATATCACCTTGGCATTAATAAGCTCGGTCAATTGTTGATGCAGGCTCTCAATATCAGAACGATAATCCTCGTTATGCCGGAAAACTTGTGCAGAAGCAGTAATTGCATCGTGCAAGTTATTTTTAAGGAAGGTATGTTCCAACCGTGTATCATCCTTTATGCCGTTCAATTCTAATAGAGGTTTGCGGTGACCCATAGCGTCACTCAATGCCTCATTAACTTCGAGTCGAGGTGCCATAGTCAAACAAGAGCTGGGCAAGAACATGGGCACTGGAGAACAGGCGAGAAACTCAAAGTTCAATAGTTTGCCAATGGTTGGTCGCATTTCCGGTTTGGATTGTAACATAGAAACAATCATATCAGCCGCCGATTTACGTAGATAACTTGGTACTCTATACCGCAAATATAAAAAATTAGATAGCTTCGAGGCACTTAATGTTTCCAAAAAATTTATGCAAACCTGTATTGACACTTTTTGATTTTCTCATATGTGTCTTTTAATGTTTTTGTTTCAAATGGTGGTTGACCGACCAGCAGCGTATACATGACACAACCAATCGACCAAATATCTACTTCGAAGGAGTGCCCTTTTTTATTGAGAATCTCGGGAGCAATATAATTTGGTGTACCACATAGTGTCTTCTTGCGTTCACCTTCGTACTCAACACGCGTCGCAAGGCCAAAATCCCCAATCTTCACGTGTAGTAAGTCATCCAAAAACAGATTGCCTAATTTGAGATCACGATGTATGATGCGATGATCGTGCAAATATTTAACACCCTGTATAATCTGATAGATGTAGTATCTGCACTCGTATTCAGTAATTGTTTTACGTCGTTTTTGCAGCTCCATCATTGACTAATTATAAATTTAAATAATTATTTTTTTTTTTAATAATTTTATTTTAATAACAATACTTACTCTCTTTTTGCATAACTCTAATACAATGTAGATATTGAAGCTGTCCTCAAAGAAACTGTGAAACTTAACAATATTTTCATGGCTCAGGCTTTTATGTATTGTGATTTCCTGGGACATTTTCTCCTTTTGATTATGTTTCAACATTAATTTTTTAGATACAATCTTGCCCGCATATACATTGTTGGTCTCCACATCAACTATCTCATAACATTTTGCAAAGCCACCCTGTGTAATTGAACTTATTTAGTATTTTACGACTTTGGCAACTCTGTATAAAAAATCTTTAGGATCACCAAACGTAATCCTAATGAAATGCAATAAAAAAAACTTAATGGTAGATGATACCTATAACATAGAATGTTACCATAGTACCCTTAAAAGGTCAGATATCGTGACGCTTATTCGCCCAGAAAATACTATTCTCTAAGTAGTAAAGTTTGCTAGATCTTCACAGGTACTTACTTTCCCAAAAAAACGCATACGCTTATAAGTGGACCTGGATGTAGCATCATACAGCCTTTCTGGTATATCAGACGTTTTATCATCAGTCTTTTGTGCCATGTTGTGCAAGGTTTCAGCTGCTTATTTAAACACACACACGCACACTCGCACGCACGTTTTACTGCACAGATCCTCCGTAACTAAACCTAAATCCGCTACCTTTCGTTTTCTTTATATACACAATATTCCCGGCAAGCGTTGACTGCACGAAGAATATATGCGGTATTTGCGCGAAAGAAATCAATTTTAGCGTAAAATATATACAAACAATATCGCGCGTTTGTCTTTGCCGCTTTAAACTAATTAGCCAACGTTTATACTTAACCAATTAAAAAATCAACAATCAATCAAACAAGACAACGTTGACAATCGAACGAATTAACGATCTACTAAAGGGCACAAACAAGCGATGAAAGTGTGCTTAGAAAAATATGATCGTGGAGGATAATGAAAACCGTTTGTGCCAGAATTTTCAAAATTCTTTTCGAATAACTTTTGCACTAGCATAATATATGTTGTCCTTCTCTTTCTTATGTTTGATAAATCCACTTCAACATTGTTTGATCTTTGTTGTGCGAAATTTTCGAAGTTTCTTTTGTTACTCAACTATTGTGAATACATTCGAAACAGGGTTGATTTATATTATTTAGTTATAAATAATTTACTCAAAATTAAAATAAAAAGTATTATATTTAATTTGCGTGGTGATAATTAATAATAATAAATTTTGAGTCTTGGTATATGCATATAATACTCTCACATTACTTTGAATATATTTCAGTTATGCGATTATAACGAGAACATAAAATACACCCTAAATGACTTTTTATGGCAGTATTGAATTCACTTACGGCTATACAATTTTCAACGTGTGAGCGCTTTATAATGCAATGCTCTACAGGATTTAAAAAACTTTTTCTAACACTAGAGCAAGATTTTCAATAGGAATAAACAAATGCAACAGAAGTTAGCATTTACATATATTCGGCCTTTCTATATTTAAATATAGGCTGAACTGAACCTAACAACCGCTTTCCAGAATTATAAGGTATTATTCACTACAATAATTAAGAACAATATTTTTTTTTATAACTTAAACGCATTATTATTCTTATTATTTTTATGTTTATTTTTACTTTTTAAATTTTGAATATGTTTTGTATCTATCTCAGATCTTATTTTTTTCTTTTAAATTAGTTATCAAAGTTGACTTGCGTTAGTTTAATTACTCCACAGTCTCACGCTATCAGTATATTTTAACTGACTTGATTAACCTTTCCTTCATTGTCATCATCACCTTCATTATTATAATTATTATCATTATTATTACCATTACTAAATACTAAATGTTCCAAATATGACTATATGTTTTTGTTTACGTTGTTTTCAGTTTTTGCGGCATTTGGGGAAAGTATCTCGCTTCATATGAATCATATGTTGCCACTATAACGATTTCTTTTGTATATAGCTACACCGTGGTAGTTAAGTCTGTTGTGCTATGCTTAACACACTCCGTGTTGTCCTCTTATTTCAACTTTTTTCGCCTTCAATATTAATGGTACCTTTTTTTTGATCATTATGATTTATATTATTAAGCAGCAAATGTAGTAATTACTATTTTATCGTAGTAGTAGGAGTTCTTGTGTTCGTATTGTAATTATTTAATAGTAATACGTTAAATGTACTTATTCATTATACATGCTTTTTCTGCAGTTTTTTGCTGAGAATTATAATTTTTGTTTAGTTTGCATTAATTGGTTTGGTCGACTGATTGATACGTCTTGTGTTAGGTGTTGGTGGCCTTACAAGCTTTATATTAGTTTTATTGTTTTCCTTTGGAATTTGCTGTCTTTGTTTTGTTTGTGGTACTTGAGTTTCATTATAGTTGATCTTTTTGATGTAGTTGTGAAATTAATCCCGGTTTTTGCTTTTGCTTTAATATCATAAATTCAGAATTTTAAAGATAATTTCAGCTTAATATCGTAGAACTCGTACATGTGCGTTGCAGTCGTAACCATTCCACAAATTCATCCAACATAACAGGCCCTGAAATCACAATACCATACAATTGAATTTAGTACTGTTCGTATGACAATTACTACTTACATGCGCCATCGATATCGTAGTTCGTTAGTTCATTGTTAATTGTGCGTGAAAACTCGAGTATGTTGCACCACTGATCTTTATTAATAACTTTGTACTTTGATTGATCAAGGAATTGCGCGAAATGCGGGTAAAGCGGCCAATGTTTGCCGAGCAGCAGTTGTAGCATTGCTTTTGCTGTATTTATATCCATGCTTCGCTGATCGGAATCCTGAAAGGTAGGGTAAATAAATAAACATGTTAGAGCAGATTGAAGAAATTTTACTTTTTCACTGTTTACTATCAGAAGTCTTACCTTGGCAAAATCGTAGGCATATCTGTATATGCTTTTGAAGACATTTGGATCGTTGAGTATACTTTTTAAATATTCTAATTTAGATTGCATTTTTGCAGCAGAATCACATTCTAACTCAGTGAGGCCCTTTAACCATTCACAACGGCTGAAGAAACCCATTTGTGTAGCGCCCATTTTGTAGGCTAGCACAAGCATCACAACATTTTCTGGTTCCACACCAATATCATCGCAGAATTTTTCCATACCATCAGGACCTGTATGCATTCAATTGCCAATATATACTTTAAATAAATATAAATAAATTATAAACATTTACCTAGCGTATCGGGCTCATCTGGGTTTGTGTATTTGCAAAACCAGTCGACACAACGCTTTTGGCTGAAACTGTCTTCAGCCTTGATGTGACGTCTGCAACAAAAAATATATTTTAGCAAATAATTTATAAACCTAAATATAATAGAGCACGTCTGCAAATTTACTTTTCCATTTATAAAAAGGAATAGTCAATATAAGATATACTAATTTCCTTTTAATACGAGTGCGCGTAACTAAATGAGCAAACCATAATATAAAAAAAGAAATATATTTCTTGCAGCTGATTATTATTATTTTAGCGTTTTCGTATACATTCATATTTGTTGTTGCTTGTCTTCTCCTATAAATAGCCACAGTATTAAGCAATAACAACAAATCCAAACAGCAAACGAATACGAACAATGAGCAGCGCAATAAAAAAAAAACGTCAATAGTATTATCGATGAAGAAACTGGTGGAAATTGAAACTAATAGTTGCAGAAAGTCAAGAAAACTGCTGCACGCGTATAAATAAATGATACGTGAGACAAATTCGAGGCGTTAATATACATAGGTTCTAATCAGAAAAAATTCTGATAACTCAATACGTGTTTCCGTTGTTTCGATGGAACCTAAATCAATGACTATTTCAACGAAAGTATTTTCATTTTTGCATCATAAACACATTTTACACTTTGAATATATGTATGTCACATTGGTATAGCCTAAGCACAGTTTTCTCCAGCGAGCTTATTATATTTAGTTTGATTTTCACTACCTGTTTGTTATATTAATTTTTGGTATTTTTAACTTCATTATTGCGCTTTTAGCTGCAACTCTTCCACTTTCAAATTTATGACTAACAATCGTAATGAAATGGCATATCTATCACACCGAGAAACCATGACTGTTATCAGCAAAATTACAACAAACAAAAACAATTTTGCAAAAAAATATAAACTGATAAAATGCAAATTCTACAGTTATCAATGAAAATGTTATGGAAATGCTATAAATACATGGTCTATATCAAAATTATAATTTTTTGTTCCGATAATATTTAACGAGTGAAATCATATAACTTGTGACTATAAACTATTTAATCAATATAAAAATTCCAAACGTAAACCATGAATGATTTGCATTTAATCAGTTGTTGCTGTTGTATATTATTTTTTTATTTATTGGTACGCATTTAATGATTTTTCACTTTGCCTTATATACACTATTATAGATGTTTCGTGTTAAGTCAAAATTTGTTAAAGGAATTACCTGCTGGTATTTTGTGTTGTCGCATAACCTCCGCGTGGTCGTTTAGAAGTTGTACGCTCCTCTTCGCCCCCCATGTCGTGATTAGAACGTCGTTTACCACGGGGCATAGCAAACACTTTGATGTTTTATTAATAATGTGCGCTTAGGTTTTAAGAAGAGGAGCGGATATTTATATAGATAATTTGTTTAGATGTAAATATGTATGTGTCTATAAATCTTATTAGCAGGCCGGTAGTTGTTTTTCCATTAATCACTATATGTATGTATGTGTATGTATCCTTGGATGATTCTTTTACAATTAAATGTAGGTTGACTGCTTCAGTTTTAGTTATATTAGCTCAAATCTTTATGCTTCACTTTAGGCAATTGCGCTGAAATATATAATATAAATTGAATATTTAGTAAAAAAAAACTGAAATAAAAGCTTTATTTGGTCTGCTTTTAGGCTTTTTAGCATATATTTTATACGCACTGGGATTTTTCACAGCTGGTGGTTGTAGTAAATGTCAAACAAGCGCCGTAAACAAAAGTGCTGGGTAGGCCGGATGCGAATTACAAGAGCGCAACACAATGTTATACGGAGAAACTACAGAGCAACAACGTTGACGCAAACTAAAAAAAAGAAAGAGCATTTATAATAAAAAAAATTTCAAGACGGTGGTTGCAAATAAATATTTCATTCATTCACTCCGTTTTATAGTATATGTCCATTCCCACATTAAAATGCAATGCCACGCTTTCTATCAAACACCTTTAGTTCAACAAATCGTAACAATGAACACTTTCGCACACAACAAGTTTTTATCTATTCCCAGGAACGTTGGCTTTAAAGCGTAGGTGGAGCTAATAATTTGATATTTGGCAAATTCCAGGCGTGCGTATATCCTATTACAGATATACATATTCCTCTCGACATCACCGGCAAGAATACAAGGCATTTTACATATATCGGTAATAGTTATTAACTGAATTTTGACACTTCCTTTTGGTGTGCCCATTCGCAGCACATCCTGCCCCAACATTTTTTATACAATTTATTGGTTCCTTTTTTCGCGTACTCCCCATAGTCTATTCATACCCAACACCGTCTTGCTATATTTTCAAGCGTCCAATGCGGCGACATTGTCAGCGATGCTGTAAATCTGCATGCGGTTCTTTCATTATTCTGGATGCGGCTTCAACGCTATTTTTGCAACTCACGGACTATATTATTGACAGAACTTGAATTTATTTACCACTCAATACACAATTAAATAATCAACTAAAAGCAAATCTTTTATTACCCGATTAATTGATGAAACTATTTTATAATGGCAACAAGAATTTCTCTTTTTGGTGTTTTTAGATTTTTGTGGAATGAATTCGACTACAGCTCGGAGAACGGTTTGTGTATGTTCAGTGACTGCGAATTTGCCAATTTACAATTTTGAAATCTAATTGGCATTTGCTTTTTATTGTTGGGTGAATATTGGAGTAACTGACTGCTGTCATAAAAAGTACTAAGACCCATTATTTTTAATTTTTAAACTTGAAGAAGCCTGAAAACTCTGAAATATCATTTAAAATTGTTTTAGTTATAAATATATTGAAAAAAATTGCTTAATAAATCAAACTGAAATAGCACATCGACTAAAATGTTGTATAAAAATATATATAGTAGAATGCACAGCTGTTATTTCAAAATACAACTCTGCTGCATATCTACTCTTGCGGAGGCATATTACCTACATTGAACGCAGCCATATAAACAAACGAGAATTTTATTTACTTCCAAAGTTTTTTGCAATGTCCGCATATGATAACGTCAGGGTTGGAAAATTGGTGTTAAAGGGCGAAAAGCCAAAGTAAGTATTTCATGATGTTAATGTTTTCGGTTAATAAAAATTTGAATTTTACTTGTTTGTAATAAATTTATTTTTAGAAAGTCAAAAAAGCACAAACGAGACAAGGAGCACAAAGAGAAAAATAAGGCGAAAAAACGCAAAACAGAGGTAGATGAGGATGCACTTCGTCATGGCGGTTGGTGGTTGGCAAAGAGTGTACCTGAAATCACCGGAGCAGTTGCCATTGAGTTTGGAGAACGTGCTTATTTAAAAGCCCTTGATAATGGACTATTTACGTTAGGGCCGTCGCACAATGACGGCGAAGGCCCAGACCCAGAAGAAGTATTTACAGCATTTTCAATAAATGAGACAAAGATATCCATTAAATCTGGCTACGGAAAATATTTGAAAATAGAAAAAGATGGCATGGTTACTGGGCGCTCAGAGGCGGTTGGCAGTATGGAGCAGTGGGAGCCCATATTTCAGGTAAGATATAATGATGAATAATATACTATTATAATAAGCAAATAATATCTGTCACAATCAATCTATAGGATGGCAAAATGGCTTTATTATCTGAAACCGGTTTTTTCATGTCAATTGATCCCGAAGATGATGCCTGCGTAGCGCTACGCAGAAAAGTGACCGAACATGAAATATGTAAAATTCGCTGCAACGCACAACGTGAAGCAGAGGAGGACGAGGAACCGAAGGAAGAAAAGGGCGACTTAACAGAAGTAGAGAAAAATTATGTGTACGTTAGAGCTTAGTGTAGTATTTAATATAGAATGTAATTAAATAATTACGTAATTTTCTTTATAGGAAAAAGTTCCAAAAATTCCAGGACAAGAAATTGCGCATCAACAAAAATGATATCAAGGAACTAGAAGTGGCAAAAGACCATGGCACTTTACATGAGGCGCTGTTAGATCGCCGTAGTAAAATGAAAGCAGACAGATATTGTAAATAAATCATTTAGTGCAATCACTAAAATTATTACTAGTTTAAATTGCGAACATTGTTTCACGACTAAAAAATTTTAATGGTGAAAAAAAACTGCTCTTAATTATTATGTATTTATAAATAAATTTCAACATAAAAACGGGAAAATGTCTTAATAAATAATCGGGATAATTAAAGTTACAGTATAATTCATTATAGTTGCTCCTCGGCTAGTAATTGCACAAATATAAGAATTTTGTGGTGATTACTGCCACAAATCACAGAAGTTGTTTTTAGGAGGATACCAGAGCTTTTCCCTCAAAACAATAATAAAATATTCTAAGCGAATGAGTCTGTGATTTGCAGATAATACACGATTGCGTCTTGTTTTAAACAAATGCATAATAATTTTTGTGAACTTGGTGCGTTGCTTCATAAGCGAAAGTATAATTAAAATGTCAATTCTGCATAAGCTTTTTAATGTGTAATAAAATTTAGTGATTCATAATGAAACAGGTATATTATTTTTTCTCTGTAACTCCCGGCCTGAGTAATATTTTCTTCAGAGTTAATATCTATTCGTGTACTTACAATACAACGAACGAAAAATCATTTATGTATTTTTTATGGACAAATAGCAGCAATCGGCCAAAACCGAATTTTTAATAATTTAAATCACGTATATGTACTATCATCATACTTAAATTCATCCACAATTTTTTGAAATAATAAATAAACTTGGTATTAATATATTGTATTAATTTTTATTTCAATATAAATAAGGATATTGGAGATGCTTATTTAATATTAATGTTTGTCATATATTGCTTTCTTCTTCAAAAGTAAGTGAACTTATTTAAGTATGACATTAGCGACATTAACAATCGCCACAAGTTCATTCAAAACATATAAAAAAAATTAAAGAAGTTTTTGAGGCATGATGCATAAACCTCGAAAAGGAATTTATGCACTTTGTTCAATTGTTATAAATACTTAAAAAGTATTGAAATTTCATTACTTACAAATCTAAAACATACTTACTGGTTGCTGGAACCAAAAAGGGATTTAAAATAAAGTCATAGTTAGTGGGAAGAAAATGGAGGTGTTTGCATAGTCAGTCAGTTAGAAGTTCAGTTGTGCTCCAGTTCTTGTTAACGGTCATGTTATTTGTGTAAAGTTAATGCAGTGCATTCATGGTTGTAGCAAGCAAAAATTTGGCTTGCTTACGTTAAGCGCGTTCACCCTATCGACTGTTGTCGAAGCATGTCGAAGCGACGTTATTGCAATTAAGCATTTAAAATGGATACGGTAGTCGTTTTGGGTGGTAGGGTATATACATGGACAAGTACGAAGCATAGCATCTTTTTCAGTTTGGTATGCGAAGAGTATTTTAATTTAATACGGAAGCGCAGACGGAGATTGACAGAAGATAGTTGGACGCGTTCGGTTTCGAATGATACGATAACGATACGTTTTTGGTTTTCTTTCAGTTTGGCTGTTTACTTGATTGATTTGCGAAATATTGTGCGATGAGTATGAAAAGCGGAAATGTGCGACGCAATGGTGGCAAACGAAAATAAAAGGCGTAGGACTGAGTATAAAAATGTTGGAAGTTTTGGAAAACGTGTTTCGTGAGCGTAATATAAATACGAAGTACGATTGAAATATTACAAACCGAGGACATTTAATGTGACTAATTGACAGATTTTGCGCTTACTTAGTCCGCCGTGGGCGTGTTTCAAAAAGCGCGTATATATGCAGCTGGAATGAATGTTCGAAGATTTACTTTATATTTCTGTCTGCGAAGATAATACAAAACGAAGCCAATTCGTAGTTGCGAGGTTGGAGCTTAGATAATGCGTATACGCGAGCGAACGTGTAAAGGCGTGGATTTGAGGCTGGAAGTGTAGAATATAAAATACGTCGTATGTCGTAGTTTGAAATATGTTTGTGTAGATAAGTTTAGCGAAAAATTAATATAAGGTAGTATAAACGAAAATTCGAAGTAAAATCAATACATCCAGATAATTTTACGAATACTGTAAGTATATATAGATATTGAAGATATTTATTTCAAAGTTATATTTGTTTGCGTAGTAACTGTTGTCTCGAATTAGCTTATAAATAGCGACTAAATTTTGGTAGCGGTAGACATTTTTTTTGTTACAAATTATCATCATCATCATCATCGCGTTTTTTTCGGTTGCATGATGTCTTTTTGTTCTACATTTACTTATATCAATTAATGAATTTTTTCATGAATCTTTTAACTAAACACACTGTGTTTTTGTGTTGTATTTCGATAGCCCTTACATTTCTAAAACGAATTGCAGTTTTGCATTTCTCAAATACTCTCTTGTTACTGCGTACTAGTAATCTCCTAAAAATTTTAAAATTGCGCTGTGGGTCCTACATATACGCGAGATCCCAACAATCATCTCTTGCTACCTTCTCTTAAACACATTATTATTTTTATATTACTTTGTTCTCTCCTTAGCTGCACTAGTGTTTAGAAGCGATGACCGACTGGTGAACGCGATCTGAAGCGTCCTCCACCTTGGCTGCTGCCACCACTGCGTCCGCCACTTCCGCTACCGTAGCCACCACTACCGCCGAATGAGCGTCCACTATCTCGTCCACCGCTGCTGCTACCGTAAACGTCGCGTCGATTGAAGCCACTACTGCCACCATCACGGCTGCTGTAACCGCCACCTTGACGGCCACCACCGCCGGAGTAGCCACGGTCGTGGTAACGCCCACCGCCGCTACCGGAGCCACGTTGACGGTATCCACCGCCACCACCTCCGCTATTGCTTCGGCGGCCGAAGTCACGTCGGCCACGGTCGCCCATACCACGACGACCTTGACGTGGCCGTCCCTTGGAGATTTCTACACGCAATTGTGAGCCCAGCAATTCTGTACCATTGAGCACGTCACAGGCCTTTTCGGCATCATCGCGATGCTCAAACTCAACAAAAGCGAAACCTGGTGGATTAAAAGCAATCCAAACAGAATTTAACTTGCCATACTTTGTGAATTCTCCTTCTAGATCATCCTTCTTCACTTTATCGGTTAAATTACCGACATAAACGCGTGTGCCTCGTTGATCACCCATTTTCACTTAAATTGATTTACTTCTCTGACTATATATGGACAAATTGAATTAATTTTTCACTTTTTCCTGCTGCTCGTCGTACACTTGCTGCTGCTACTTTGAATGGCTTCAATCGATTGAATCGGGTGTGTATAATATTTTTCGTGCTTCGCTTACTTGAAAAACAAAATGTCGGTTTATGGCTTGGTTCGCACACAGGGTTGCCTTGTCCGAACGGAAATGAATTGCAAATATTAAGCACATTTTTCCGAATTGTAAAAGATTTTTATGGGTATTCAACAACTTTATGCTGCAATTATAATTGATGTTTAAAATTTTGTGACTAAAAATAATATTAAACCTTGTATAAGCTTAATTGAATATACTAAATCCAATTTTGTAGTGAGAAATTTTTTTATATAGATTTTGTGGGAAATTTTTTTCTTTAACTTATGTAATACTGGCAAATAATTCTAACTCCGAAAATTATCGATTAATTTTTTGTTATCGCCATAAGATGCCGACAATGCAGTTCGCACATCTTTGTTATTTTCCGGTGCCCTTTAATTCATTTCCTTTAGTTCGTGGTCAATTAAAAGCTAACAAAAATTTTCACTTCAACATTTAAATGCGAAACAATAATTTAAATAGTAATTAGTGCATAAAAATGGGGTTTTCAACATATTTAGAAGATTTTGCATGTGCGTAGTAAGCTGGTTGCAACCACTGTGCCAAGAGAGTGTCACATTTCACCAACTGCTCAGACTTGTGTGAGAGACGCTAACTGTCACCCAAAACCACCCCCTGCCGGTGCAATAGTACACTGGTGCTCGCAAATGTGCCTTCACGCCGTGAATATGTGTGTACAAGCACACACAAAGTGTAACCAGCAGATGACTTGCTGTGGCACCAAAACAAGCGCATACAGCGCACAGTTAAAGGTACGTTACTTTCTTCCAACAACCACCGATTGCATTCGCTGTAACCCATTCCTGTGAAGCATAGCCTTTTCCAACACTGCTATCTCACCAGCTCGGTTTTTTGAGCAACGCCACACCACCACCGCCAGCGTCATCACCATCAACAACAACTGCGTTATAAACACACAGTCACCACCCCCTGCCTATGTGCATATGTGTTCCTGTTGTTGTGTCTGTTGTCGTTGTTTTGCCGGTCTGTGTTGTTGGAGGATATCAACTTCGGCAATTGTAGGGCTATCGCGCAGCGCCGAAGCAATGTTTTCATCACGTTTCGTCGTCACTGACTCTGGCGCTGGCTCGGATTTATGCTTTGGCGTGCGTGGTGTATCCTAGTCGATGTTAGTAAGTTGCCGTAATTGGACGTGGGTGAATTGAAGAACGGTTGAACGGTTGTTTTCGTTTTACTCGGTATTTATAATACGCGTTGACGACGGTGCGGCGAAGCCATTGATATACAGTTACTAAACGGCATAGTGAGTCTCGTGTCTTGCATTTTGATGATGCGAGCATTATTGGCAATTAAGAATATTAAATATTTGCTTGTTAATATTTCGCGAGTCGGCGACTTTCAGCAAGTGACAGCCTTGACAATAAATATGCAACAACAAAAATTGTGCAGTGAATAGAAAATTGAATATATCGTGGAAAGCGTGGTAAATAATAATTCGAATTGGAAGAAAAGACTTTCAACACAATTGTTGGAGAAAACTGATAAAAGTTTTTAATCCCTTATGGTAAAAACAAATTAAAGCGAATTATTTATTAATTAAAATAAAAATTAAGAAAGTATTTTTTGTTTATAAGCAAATCGTATTGAATAACTGAGGTAACTTATTTAAAATAAAGTGAAAAAGCAAAAAATTACTAAGAAAATGAATGAAAAACATAAAAGTGTGCAAGTTATATGTAATCTCCGCAATTCCTGAAACTAAAATATAAATAAATAAAATAGTGTTAGTGAACAGCTGTAATAAATAAAAAAATATTTACTTTAGTGCTTAAAAATATTTATTTGGTAAAGAATAAGAAAAAATGTGTGTTTAGTGAATTATAACGAAGGAGGATGCTGTTATATTTATGGAGTTTGCAATACTACATAAAATCGCAAAAATACGCTGGGATGAAAGTTTTTGCTGTAAATTAAAAGAGGTGAGCTGTGAAAAAAAATATTTACTGATTATTTATATTGATAATTTCAAAGTGCACGCAAAGTGATAAATTAAATTGATTTCGTTTAAATTTCTGAACTCTTCTTTTTTTAAGTTTTATACATTTTAGCTTCATACCAATGTCTTTTAGAATAGTGGTCACCCATAAACATTAGAGTATTGTGTTCTAACGGGGAGAGTTCTTTCATTGCTAATTGTGAATTGCAATAGTCATTCTGGATAATTTCTCGAACTTTTGCTAGCGAACTCATGCCATCACTAATTTTTAAGTTTGTATGCATAGCTATGTATCGAAAATATATGATATTTTGATTATTCTGTCCCCTTTCCCACTCACTTTATTTTTAAGGAACCTAGTAATGCGCTTGCGGTTCCCTTCACATAAAAGTCATTTTGGTTACCTTGCTCCAGTTTCTTGCAACCGCTGCGTACTCGAAGAATATGTGCGCAGGACCTCCGCCGCGAGATCGCAGAAAATACAGTCTTCCATCGGCCAAATGTTATTTT